TGATCCACCTCTCCAAGCCTTGACATAATGCTCGTATTTATTGCAACCAGTTCTTACCTATGTATTTATTAACACTACTAAGTAATTAATCCATCTGTCCCCTGGGTATTGCTGTTGGGCACATGCCTTGTATCTTGATGCACTTCAAACAGTTAAAGAAATCTCTGACCTTGTGCTCCATAAATACTCTGCTGGTCGCTAGGGTTGATCAGGAGCAGTAGTGGCACAGGAGAAAACTGATTAGTAATCTGCTGTCTCTTGTAGATGACTCCTTGCTTTGGGGTGTCTGATCCTTGCAGGTCATGAGGGCTGATATTGGGGACTCAGTGCCTTTCACATTGTGAATGGGCAAATCACTAGATTTTCAGATCCTGCTGATGGCCAGTACTTCGCACTTGCATGTAGGGGCACAAGATTTTCAGGATTGCAAAGAACTGGAGCAAGCACAGTAATACACTACAGTCCTAAAATCTGTTGCCTTGTGAACCCATGTGTTCCTTGGGGGCACAGGCTTGTTTGTCTGATTGCTAGTCTGTTTTGCAAGCTATCATTATTGATTGTTTTGTATAGTCCTTTAATCCTAGGAGCAATGGCCATCTTAATGCAGCCCAAGTTTTCACAATCTAATCTTGCCTCACTGTATTTAAGTGACCCACATAAACATTTTTTTTTTTTTTTTTTTTTTTTTTTTTTTTTTTATTCACTGGTATTTAGTGTCTCTCTCTCTTTGAAGATCACTTCATAAAAAGAACACTTGTGGGGTTTTTTTTTTGTTTGTTTTTAAAGTTAAGTATTTGGTATTTATACTGGAGGTTTAAGAACAGTAATGTTCTGAAGAGCCTTAGACATTCTATGTCTTCTTTGTATGGCATACTGTCATTTGGTATAGTGATGTTCCTACTTCTGCTGTACTAAAATATAATATTTATGTAAAAATGCAATGATGATAATAAAACTAAATGTTTCCATATTCAAGTATGTTGAATAATCTCTTTAATTTAAATGAGAGTGTGTGTGTGTTTAGCAGCACAACTACCTGAGAAAATAAGTGCTGTGGATGAATCGTACCCTGTGATGTACACCCATACATGCATTCAGCTTAAAGGGCTTTTTCATGGGTATAGTTTTATCTGCATAAAACTCCACTCATGTGAATTGAAGTATTCCACTGTTTTTAAATTTTTTTTCCATTTTGAAAACTGATTACTCCTAGAAAGATTGGTGTGCCAATTTAAGCTGCTGACTTTCAAGGGCTCATTTCATTTGCTTCACTTTGAGCACAAGCAGTCCCACTGAAAGTTAAGTACTTGTGCATCTTTGTGGGGTTAGGGCCATGAAGATTCTTCACTGCTGGAAGAAATGTAATGGTTCTAAAGGAGTTGGAAGAGAAGTATAGAAAAAACACATTTGTTTATATAGACAATAATCTTCAGGGCATATGCATGCTCAAGTGCAAACTCTTTTGAGTCTAAACACTTATTAAAGTGCAGCATCACCCTAGCTACATTAAGTGAATTTCTGCAGAGTATTTTCAGAAAGCCAAGATGGACAGACATACAGGTTCAGATACAGTACAAAGTGCACGGATTATTTTTTTTTTTTTTTTTGATTGTGGGGTAAGTCTGCTGCTTGCTTTAATACCATTGAAGCAGACGGGCATCTTCAGGGTGTACTATATATTAGAGCTGCTCCATGATGGCGATTTCTTTGTGGTAGTAGCACTGCATTGTATGCAAGTGTCAGTTACACTTTTTAAGCTAAACTACTATGTGGTCTTGGACCTAACAGACTGAAAAAGGAATTATTGTGGAAAAGTTTTATTATTCAGCTCATCAGCCTTGGGCACAGGTATCTACCATTTCAATCTTCCTAAGATTAGAAGGAAGTGCTGCACCCCTCATCAAAGAATTTCATCCCTTTACATACAATTCCTACTGCTAATCTGAAGGTCCTAGGTACAAGTATTGTATTTACTGGTATATCATCCATTCTACCGTTCAGCGTAATATAATAATTGGCAATCTCTCGGATTTTTGAGGATGATTACTCCCACAGGTCAGGTAACAAGCTGTATATGAGTCTACTGCTGGCTAGGCCAATCCTAGAGTTACAGACTGGCAGATGGCACAGATGGCATTTAAAGAGGGGGTTTGATCTCAGCTTTCTTGATCTTGGTTTCCTTTCCTTCTATTTCTGTTTTTTCTCCAAATCCAAATCAAATCAAGAGACCCATTAGTCTCTGCAAATCAAATCAGAAACCTCTGGTTCAGTTTGGAGAGATTCAGCGATTTGGCCATAGACACAGCTTTATATGGTTTTTTTCTAGATACCTTAAGTTACCAGGTGCAGCTTGTGAATGCTAAAATGGTGGGACAGATGAAGCAGCCCATGGGAGTGCTGGGGGGTTCACTATGCTCTCAGCAGCAGACTCGGAAGTGGAGCAGAAGTACTTCTGGTCCACTTCTGGGTCTGCCGCTGTGTGTGCAGGGCTACCCCCCCTACCTCACTGGCTCAGTAACAGCTGCCTCCTGGGTCTGGGGTCCCCCATGGCCAATCACTGAGCTGGGTTGGGGGGGCCCCACATACTTGGTGGCGGACTGGGACGTGGACCAGTAGTACTTCTGGTCCATTTCCGAGTCTGCTGCTGAGCGTGCAGAGGAGCCCCCCGTGCTCCCATGGGACGCTCCATCTGCCCCATCATCTCAGCATTCATGAGCTGTGCCTGGTACCTCGAGGTATGTAGAAAAAACATATAAAGCTGTGTCTACGGCCGAATTGTTGATTCTCCAAATCAGAATCGAATCTTCAGATTCAGCCGAATTGAATCGGGACGCTGATCCGAATCCGTGAATTGAATTGCTGTCCCCTGAATCCGGCCAAACCTGAATCCGAATAGAATACTGTCCGCTTTGCACACCCCTAGTGTCTAGGGGTCTGAAGACGTTTGATCTTGAACTGTCTTTGGATTAATTTTGGTTGCTTTTGGTGTTTCGGTGCAACCCTGATGGATGTAATTGATCTCACTAAATGTTGATCCAGTCCAGCAGTCATTGGCTGCTCTAACAACACGTGTGGTATGGAAATTGTTTAGATCAGCTCTTATGATGACATAGTCAAGGAGGTGCGATTATTTTGAGTGGGGTGTTGCCATGTTGTTTTGTACCTGTCATGTTATCTGAAGATAGTGTTAGTAATGACAAGGTTATGTTCTGTACATTTATTGAATAAAAGGATGCCATTGGAATTGTCCTTGCCCACTCCTTCCTTCCCAATGGTTCCCCTCCACATGTTAAAGTCCCAGCCAACTCTTGCATTGAAGTCTCCAAGGAGGATGATCTTGTCCTTTTTTGCTATGATGGTCAGGATTTCATCAAAGTCAGCATATAACTGTTCTTTCTATTCTTCCTCAGCATCAAGTGTTAGGGCATATGCACTGGTGATGGTAGCAAATGAATTGTTGCTCAGGTGGGGGTGGAGAATCATTTAGCACTCATTAATGCCAACAGGGCATTTGGTCATTCAGCTGACAATCTGGTTCTTAATGGTGAAACCAAATATATTTTGCCTGTTGTTTGTAGGTTTCCTTTTCCAGAAGAACGTATAGCCACCTCCTTTCTTCAGTTGGCTTTCATCTGTGCTTCTGACCTTGAGAAGAGCAGTCATATTGATGTTATATTGTGCAAGTTCTTAGGTGATAATAGCTGTTACACATTCAGGTCTGTCACTGTTTGGGTCATCTAATAGGGTTCGTACATTCCAGGATGCAAACAAAGGACATTTTTGTGTTTCAACTGCAATTAGAGTGATCCCCCTGGAAGCGGCTATCCAGTTGGGTAAGGTAAAATGGGACAGCCTATGCTTGGGGCACCTTTTCTAGCCCCCTCCCCATGTGGTGTGGGCAGAGGGGATCCTAAAAAAGACTGCTTACTCACGATCATAGCTGCCAAATCAATTCCCTGTCCCATACCAAGGGTGAAGCAACCATCACGTGACTGCTGCCTGCATGTGGATCCATGATGACGGAGCCCCAACAATCACTTTGTCTGTCCCTGTCGCTACTTGTCCATCATTGCAGGACTTGGTAGAAGTTCTGGGTTTTGGTATTGGTTACTGTGGTAGATGTTGGACCAGTGGGAGAAGCCTGCACGTGATGTGTTTCATGTGAGGAGGCCATTGTGCATCAACATCCACATAGATCTATGCAGAAGAGAAACCTGTGTCCAGTGGCAGGGAGATTCAAGGCAACTGGGACTATTCTTCCACTACAGCCTTCATGCTCCTTCGCAACCACCTGCTCCACCATTGAGGTCTTTGTGTTGTGTTGCACTGCTCTTCCTCTGATACCTCACCTTTGACCTTGTCGCCATGAGTGACCCTACCAGGAGTACAAGACTCCCAATGGTGTTGCTTTTAGGGTCATCAGATAATAAAGGGAGAAGGGGTTGAAAGAAAGACCCATTCTATATGTGTTTGAAGATGCATCAGAAATGCTATTTCTCAGATGGCATGATAGGGACATGCAAGCATTCTGTACAGTCTGCCACCCACAAAAGGCTAAGATATAGCTGAAAAAAAATGGCAAACTGGCTTCAAGATTGCTTTGTGAGTAATGATTTTAGCCATATTCAAGAAAGCAGCAATACACTAGAACATAAAAGCTGGCATGGATATCTCTGTATGTCTGGGGGTTGGAAAGAAAGAATTGGAGTAAAGAGAGACACAGCTAAATCAAAAGCATGTTTAGAGTTAGGTTTTGTACTGAAGACCAACAGATGTCAGAGGAAGCTACTTTTGTAATACTTACCGCAACCAGAAATCCTTTGGGATTTGAAAAACTTGTATTAAACCAGTGTTGACTGGAGATAGCATGGCATAAACAATAAGAAGGATGTTTGTGTAAATAAGATATTAGAGTGAACTGGGTAAGGCTGACCTCAGTTTCTAGTTGTACCACAGCCTTCCCTGGTAG